AAATAATTGAAATCAGTATGTACAAGAGATATCTGCATTCCCATGTTCATTGAAGCATTATTCACCATAGCCAAGATAATAAATTAATGTCAGTGTACACCAATGGCCAAATATTCAATGAATGGGTGAGGAAAATGCCGTTTAGATGAGGGAAAGAGGAAATATTGGGGAATTATACTGGCCAAATTATATTGTCATATTTTGTACATGTACAAATATGTAACAACAAATCCCACCATTATTCCAACTATAATGCACCAATAATATATGAAAAGAAAAAAATGTGATACACACACCACACACACACAATGAAACACCAGTTTAAAAAAAATTAAGGAAGTCTGTCATTCCTACAATATGAATGAACCTGGAAGACATTATACTAAATGAAATAAGCTAGGTGTAGAAAGACAAATACTGCATGATTTGACTTTTACCTGTAATCTATAGAACCTATAATCTATTGAACTTGTGGAAGTGGAGAGTAGAATGGTTATTACCAGGGTCTGGAGGCGGGGATGGGGATGAGTGTGCATGGGGAAAAATTGGCTAAGATTAAAAAATCCAAATTAGGCAGGAGGAATAAGTTTTCAAGATATATTGTACATTGTATTAATCATAATGTGTTATATATTTTTAAATTGTTAAAATAATATATTTTGAATATTCTCATTACAAAAAAAAATAATTGGCACCCGTGGAGACGGATATGTTAATTAAGTTGATATAATTGTTCTACAATGAAAACAAGATCTCTAGCCATCAGGTAATATAGATCAAATTTACTCCTTGAAAATATATAATAATGCCATTCACATCACATGAAATTAAATCCCCTAACATCCCTTTAGGTTGCTTAGACAGCCCCAGCAATCACATAAGCCAATCCATGTACATAAATTTCAAAGGTCTATGGGACACATAAGACCATCACATTTACTCTTTGAAAATATATAACAACATAACATTTATTCCTTGAAAATATATAATAATGCCAATCAAAAAATAAAAATTTAAATGCAAAAAAATTAAAGAAAAATCTAGGATGTAAGGATTAACCATTTTCCATATATCCAACATCAGTGCACCTTTGTAGTTACCCCATTCTGCTCACTGAATGAATGGGGGTGTGGCTGGGCAGTCTGTCATCCAGTTTTTAAGTTAATTGTGTGTGTGTGTGTTTTTAAAATAACAGCTTTATTGAGATATAATTCACATTCATACACATCCCCTATTTAACATGTACAATTAACTTGTTTTAAGTATATTTATAAAGTTGGGCAGCCAATATTGCTCATTCCAGAATATTTTCATAACTCCCCCAACACTCTGTATTTATTAGCAGCCATTCCCTACTTCTCTCCAACCCCTGTTTCCAGCCCAAAGAAAATACTAATTTACTTTGTGTTTTTACAGATTTACCTCTCATGGACATTTTGTATAAATGGAACCATATAATTTGTGGTATTTTATAATTGCCTTCTTTCATTTAGCATGTTTTCAGTCATTTATGTTAAAGCATGCATCTGTACTCCATTTTTTAAATTTCTGAATGATATTCCATTGTATGTGCATAACATTAATTGATTAATTCATCAGTTGATGGATATTTGGGTTATTTCCATTTATTGAGTATTATGAATATTGCTGATATGAACATTCCTGTACAAGAGCTTGTGTGAACATATGCTTTGATTTCTCTTGAGCATATATCTATCGGTGGAATTGCCAAGTCACAGATAACTCAGATGTGGAACTTTTTAAGAAACTGCTATTCTGTTGAACAAAATGACTTTATCATTTTATATCCCCACCAGCAATGTTTGAGGCTTGCAATATCTCTGCCTTTTCACCAGTACTTATACTGTTTATCCTTTTTTATTATAGCCATCCTAGAATTGTAAAGTGATAGCTCGTTATGGTTTTCATTTATATTGCCTGATGGCTAGTTATCTTAAAGATTTCTTCATGTGCCATTTGTGTTTATTTATATATATGCATATATATATGTATATATATAATTCATATATATATGTATATATATAATTCATATATATATGTATATATATATATTTGCAGAATATATATATATATATATATATGCAGAAATGTCTATATAGAACCTTTTCCAATTGTAAAGTTAGGTTGAATTTTTATAAGTAAATTGTAAGAGGTCTTCATATGTTCTATGTAGAAGTTCCTCATTGGGTATATGATTTACAAATATTTTCTCCTGTTTTTCAGGTGATCTCTTCATTTTCTTGAAAGTAAGTTTTACATCACAAATGTCTTCATTTTGATGCAATTCAATTTTATCTGTTTTTTTGTGTTACATATTATTTAAGTTACATATCTATGAAATCATTGCTTAATTCAAAGTCCCAAAGATTTAGGCCTATGTTTCTTTTATGTTTTATAATTTCAGCTCTTACATTTGGGTGTTTGGTCAATATTGTGTTAATTTTTCTGTATGGTACGAGGCAAACTCTTATCACTATTTGTTGAAGAGGTTATTCTTTCTCATTGAGTGGTTTTGAACCCTTGCAGATAATTGCCGGTAAATCTGAGGGCTTATTTCTGGAATTCTAATTCAATACCATTGATCTATAGTTATGCTGGTGTTTTTATTAAATTATTGGCTTTATTAGACTATAAAAATCTCTCTAAGGCTCAAATTTTGGTTCAAAAACAACCTCATCTTTTACCATTTTAAGAGTAACACACCTTTGGCCAGTAGGTAGGTCTTATGTGTCCCATAGACCTTTGAAATTTATATATATGGATTGGCTTATGTGATTGCTAGGGCTGTCCAAGCAACCTAAAAGGATATTAAGGGATTTAATTTCATCTACAAAATGCCTCCATAAGTGAACCAAGTGTTTGAATAATTAGATATTGTAGCCTCACCCAGTTGTTGCATCAAAAAAGCTATCACACGTACAAATTTTAAAAATCTATATATAGTACATATATGATTATGTGATCAGTATGATTCTACATCATATATACTCAGAAGAATGATAAATTATACTCCATTTATGTATGGTGTGTCAAAATGCATTCTACTGTCATGTATAACTAACTAGAACAAATTAAAAATAAAATTAAAAAGAAAAGAAGGAAATGTCAGAAGAATTCTGAAAAAGTTATATCACCAAGATGTATTCTTGAACACTCTAGTCAGCAGAGAATTTTACTGTTCAAACAACTTGAATAAAGTTTGCAATAAAAAAAATCTATGTATAGCAAAAGACACAAAGATAATCTACAGACAGGTGAAATAGATTTACAATACAGGTAATAGCCAAATGATAAATATTCAACATGTATTGAGTTTCCCCAAATCAACAAGAAAGATAAGAAACAGCTGATAGAAAAATGGGCAAAGAATATAGGTAATTCGTTAAAAAAA